AGAGAACAGGCCCTAATTGCCTATAAATTGTTTTGCAGGGAATTGTTAATTAAGTGTGTTTGATTGGTATAATTTTTCACTCAAAAATTTTTTAAATTTTCTATTCGTTTGGCTTTGTTTGACATGGAAAGTGTCTATTAAAGTGATAATTTTTTTCCACAATTGGTTATAAAATTTGTTTCCATTGCCAAAAAGTCAAAAAAAAAAAAAAAGGAAAAAAACTGTTTATTAAAAAATCATTTTTTCATCAAAATTTAGTGTTCGTTTGACTTTATTTTACATGAAAATTGTCTATTAAAATGAAAAAAATTTTACCATTGAGTATGACATTTGTTTCCATTGAAAAAAAAACAAAAATAAAAAAAAAAACCCAAAAGCTGGAAAATAAAAAACTGCCCAAACCCAAGGAAAATAAAAGCAAGGATTTCAGGGAAAATCAGGCGCGTGGTAAAATGAATTCCAAGGTTAATTTTCACCATCAAACAACAACTTTGTGAGAAAGAGGAAAATCTTTTCCATTTTCCTGGGAAAATGAGGCTCATCAAACAGAGCCTTAGGTCTTCAATTTTGTAAGTACCAGATCATAGCTCTTCTGTGATGCAATAGGGTCCTTCTCAGTTGGGCCCAATGTGCTATGCCAGGCTCTTTAGAGGACAAGAAGATTTTCCTGAGCACAAGATTGCATTTGCAAAATGATCTTTGCTCAACTCTAGCATTATAATTGCGAGTTATCTTGCCCTGGTAAGAAGCTAGAGTGGACAAGACTTGTATCGACAATGTATTATCTATAAATACCATTGGATTAAATAAATCCTGGCCATTCATTTCAATTGTATCTACAATGTATTATCTATAAATACCATGTATTGCTCATTTTGTAGAAGCTAGAGTGGGTAAGGAAGACACTTGTGTGTGCAACTTGTAAAATTTCTCTCAAACAATACAAAGGTTCTGTCCCTCGCTGGGATTCAAAGCAGGCTACCTTAACCAAGTTTCCTGCGAGGGGCAGAACCTTCGAAGGGTTAAGGCTGCACGTAACAACTTTGGCGAGTGACAAGGTGGTCCACATCAGCTGAAGAATAGAAGTTATCAATAGGAATACATGTATTTTATCAATATGAAGCACCACCATTTTCCATCCATAATAAAGCTCTAATTGAAGAAAAAAATGATCAAACAAAACTATTTCAGGAGGTGATCCACGACAATATGCTATTGCAAAAAGATGAACAAGTTTGAGTTTGGATTGGTCCAAATGAAGATTCAGCCTCGATTTGCAAACAAAATCCTAGAAATCGATCAGAGTTTGGACCAACTAAAATCGAACAATACATAAATCAAAACTTGGAAGATACCTCAAACTGAGATTTATGAAAATTTCTTTGTATTTGTTGAATCGATTTCTAAAACTATAGAAAACATTTAAGAATTTTTTTGGAAAAATCTGTAAAGATTTTTAATCAAACATGT